TTCTCCGTTTCTTTCATAGTCTCTGACAACATGATACTTAATCTGAATATGTTTAGTCCTCCTATGCTGAACTGGGTATGTCTTTCATAGCTATAGCCGATTTGCTATCACAGTAAATGGGTACTCCTTCTTGAGAATTTATCCGCAAGTCTTCAAGCAATCTCCTTAACCAAGTTGCTTGGTTATATGATGCACATAACGCCATATATTCTGCTTCTGCTGTTGATTGAGCAACGGTATCCTGCTTGCTTGTTTGCCAGGTGAATACTGTCGATCCAATACTGAAGCAATATCTTGTGGTTGACTTCAAGTCTTCTCGGCATCCTCCCCAATCACTATCAGAGTAACCAACAAGACTAGCTTCATTCACTCTAGTAAACCATAGTCCCATATCAGACGTCCCTTTGATATACCTCAGTACTCGTTTTGCATCCTTGAGATGAGATGTCATCGGTTCCTTCAAGTATTTTGACAAATAAGAGGCTGCAAACATTAGATCAGGTCTTGTAGCTGTTAGGTATAACAGACCTCCCACTAAACTTCTGTAAACCTTACTGTCAATGGCTTCCTCTTGCTCTTCTTGAAGCTTACGTTGAGGTATCAATGGAGTAGTCATAATCTTACAATCTTCCATGTTGAATTTCTTTAACAATTTCTTGGCATAACATTCTTGTGAGAGAAATATACCATCCGGTTTTTGTATGATCTCCATTCCAAGAAAATAATTCAGTAGGCCCAAATCTGACATTTCAAACTCATCCTTCATAGTGTTCTTGAACTCATTCACCATGCTTTCATCATCACCTGTAACAATGAGATAATCAACATATATGCATACAACCAAGAGATTTCCATTGCTTTCTTTAGTGTATAGAGCATGATCATTGTCACTTTTCTTAAACCTTTCTCTTTGGAAGAACTCATCTATTCTGATGTACCAAGCTCTAGGAGCTTGTTTAAGCCCGTAAAGAGCTTTGTGCAGCAGAAGAACATGATCTTCCTTTCCTTTCATCTCAAATCCAAGAGGTTGTTCAGCATAAATCTCTTCTTCAAGCCTCCCATTGAGAAATGCTGACTTGACATCAAGTTGAAATAGTTTCCAACCCTTTTGAGCCGCAACTGCCATGAGAAGTCTGATGGTTTCATGTCTTGAAACCGGAGCAAATGTTTCCAAGTAATCAACGCCATATTGCTGAGTAAAACCCTTTGCAACTAATCTTGCCTTATGCCTCACCACATTTCCTTGTGCATCTGTTTTTAGCCTGTAAATCCACTTCACTCCAACAACGTTTTTGTCTAATGGTCTTTTAACTAACTCCCATGTTTCATTCTTCTCTATCATTTTGATCTCCTCTTCCATTGCCTCGTTCCACTCACTATGTCTCACAGCTTCTTCAAACATCGCTGGCTCCTCTAAGCCGCTGTAACATCCTTCCATTACAGCTGAGTATTCTAGATCAGCATAAGGAGCCGTAAGCAGAATATCAGCAAGTGATCTTGTTCTTTTATTAACACGACTGGAGCTTCCTCCTGAGTTTGCTTGATTTGGACTTTGAGATGTAGGTTCTTCATCAGCAAAAACATCATTGTTTGGCTCAAGATCTTTGTTTCCTTGGTCTTCTTCTCTTTCCTCATTCTCAATGGATATCTTGTAATCCTTTACAGCTTCCTTCCTGGTCCAATCCCATTGACTCTCTTCATCAAATATGACATCTCTTGAGATGTCTATTTTATTTTCTTCCAAGAGGTATACTCTGTATCCTTTAGTTTGTGAGCTGTATCCAACAAATATAGCTCTCCTTGATTTGTCATCCCATTTTCTTCTTTTCTCATCAGGGATGTGGACATAGCACAAGCAACCAAACACCTTCATATGTCCCACTGAAGGTTTGGTACCGTTCCATGCCTCAAGAGGAGTTGTATTCTTGAGAGCTCTAGTCGGTGTTCTGTTTTGAACATAGGCCGCATTGTATACAGCTTCTGCCCAAAATTTCAAAGGAAGACCTTTGGCTTTAACCATTGCTCTAGCCATCTCCACCAAACTTCGATTTCTTCTTTCTGAAACTCCATTCTGTTGTGGCGAGTAGGCTTCTGTCAGTTGTCTTTCAATGCCACTGTCTTCTACAAACTTTGTTAACTCTCCTGAAAGGTATTCGGATCCTCTATCTGTTTTGAGTCTTTTAATCTTAGAGTTGGCCTGATTCTCAACAAGATTCTTGAACCTTTTAAACGTTTTGAAGACCTCTAACTTTGCTTTAAGAAAATATACCCATACCATTCGAGTAGCATCATCAATAAAGGTAAGTATATACCTGCTTCCGCTGAAAGATGTGTTTTGCATTGGTCCGCACAAGTCACTGTGGATAAGCTCCAGCTTCTTAATGGCTCTTGACTCAGACTGTCTTGGAAATGAGTCACGGCTGTGTTTGCTGATGATACAACTCTCACATTTTTCTTGAGTTATGTTAAGTCTTGGCAGACCGGTGACCAACCCTTTTGAAAGCATAACTTTAAAGTTGTTGTATCCCGTGTGACCGAGTCTTCTATGCCATAGATCTCCCTCTTTATCTTTGGCCACCATTGCTGTCTCTTCATGAGAATTCCATTTGATGTGGAAACTTTTGTTCACCATTGAAACTTTTCATATCTCTCTCCCGGTTTTATCATGAATGATGCAATGATTTTCTTGAAAAGTTGCTTTATAACCATTAGTAGTCATTTGTGGAACGCTTAGAAGATTTTTGCCGAGCTTGGGAACGAGAAAGACTTCTCTTATGATCCTTTTTCCTTTCTTAGTCATCACTTCAATGTCTCCTTTTCCTTCTGAGATCAGCACTGCTCCGTTTCCAACCTTTATAGGAACCTTTATGTTTGTGTTAAGCCTCACAGACATTTCTTTGTTTGGCGTCATGTGATTTGTACATCCACTATCAATGAGCCAAACATTTTCTTTTCTTGATTCTTCTTCTCCTTGTTCTGCGGTAAACATGTGATGCTTCTCTACTTCATCATGTTGACCATTCTCTTCTTCACAAACTTCTATTTCTTCTTTCACCGTCTTGTTCTTCTTGTTTCTTTGAACCATTTGTTTGGTTCTCTTTGTTGCTGAGTCTTCTGAATCCATCATCTTGTTCGGCAAGTCTCCATGAATCATCATGAGCTCTGATACCATGTTGATCTTTTGCTTCTTAAAACAGAGTTCTCTGTTTTAATATTGTTGTTCATGGTTCGTAAAAGAAAGAGAGAGAGAACAGAAATTTTGAGCAAAACACATTCTTCTCATTTCATTATGTTCTGTTGAGTACAATGCAAAAGAGTCTAGACTTATACAGAAAATCAAACACAACAACTTTAACTAGATAACACTTTTCCTCAAAACACTCAACATAGTCAAAAAGCTACTCATAGCTTCTTCTTTCTCCATGCGCTTAACTGTTCCACCAACTCCCACTAAACTAAATTTTTTCTAGTTTGGTTTGAAGCCAAAATGGCATTGTTAACACTAAATAGTTAAAAGAAAAATAAAAAAACAATTATTATTACACTGATTCCAACAAGATTTTTAACAAGGTTGGTAAAGAGATAGAGAAAAAAAAAAGAGATATCCCTCCATCAATTAAAAGCTGCCTACAATCAGAGCCTAGAAATCAGTTCATACAAGTATAAATTAATGACGTAAAAAGAATATTATAGTTTTGATAATTTATAGTATATACCAAATTAACCACTCTAATTCATTTATATAATTTCAATCTTAAAGCTGAAACATAATTCTGCATCATCCAATTAGTTTTTTTTTTTCCTTTTATCACACTTCACATTCCTCAGAAGGTAATCATTTGGTAACACTATATATCAACCATATATGCTTACGTGCTATTGCTAGGTAAGATATATTGTTGTTATTATTATATTGGTATATATATAATAGACCATTATCAAACAAAATTTTGGTTTATATAGAGTAAATAAATCAAAATACTCCAAAACCCATTAATTACTGTGTGTGTATGTGTGTGTTTGTAGCGTTTAGATTCTTTCTTAGCTTACCGGATACTAAGGTTATCGAGTTAACGATTCAGAAGCAAAACGTGTAAGCTTAAGGGAATGAAGCCTGATCCGACAACATCATCATGACTATGAGATGAAATGGTCTCGAGCCAGGCATCATCCACCTGAACTTATGCCTCAGCTCAGAGAGGGAGAAGAGAGAAGATATAAAAGAGAAGATCTAAACGGCCATACATTTACTCTCTTTTTTTTTTTTTTTTTTAATTAGGATGTGCCCTTTATAATATAGTTTATATTACGTGAAGGACGTGGAGACTGGTTTTTCTTAGTATTTTATGTCTTTTTTTTTATGCCGAACCATTGAAACGCTATTTATAGACAGAGAATTACATAAGAGACTTGAATCATTTCGAAAGAAAATATATGATATTTGGGAAAAAAAAAAGTTAGATGGTACTTTTTTAGAATGTCTTTATATAATAAGATATCTATGATCCCGAAGACACGCTATAACAGGAAAGTATTATATATTTTGACCCAAAAAAATATTGTACATCTAACGTTAAATGAAGAACTATAAAAACATTACAATTCACACTATAAAGAATGCTTTCAGATATCCGAAATTCATGAATAAATTTGGTATACCTAAGATTCAAGATACATGTATCATGTATGATCTTTAACAAGACACCATTACCTTGAAGACCGAAACTATAAACTGATAGAAGTTTGGCATGTATAAAAAAGACGTGTTCCTGTTTAAACAATCACTAACTACTTTTAGAAGTTTTTCTATTTCCAAGTCAAAAAGAAAAAGAAAGTCTCTTTTGACAAACCATTCCTAATACTATTAGCTGCAGAAAAATTAGTTCCCTATCACAATCTGAAAGCTAACTAACATTCACAACTTGTGTCATCTTCATCAAACGTAAACTTATTAATTGAAAATTCTCAAGTAATTGCAACAGAAAATACTGTATAAGAACTCTGAAAATGACAGTATTTTTATACTGTGACTTGATAAGTGATAGCCACAACATTTATTGAATTCTTTACACTGTCAAAGATACATTTGAGCACAAAGACAGAAGAACAGGGTACAGAATGTTCAAAGCTTCTGGATGAGGAAGAGGGTTCGCATCAGTCTAAAGAGAGCTTAGCCAGTGTGAGGGAAAGTACCTTTACTCCATTAGCCATGTCTTCAGGAGATGAGTATTCTTCAGGTTTATGGCTGTATCCTGGAAAAGATCACAGAACCAAAAAAAAAAGCCAAGTGGTGATGCTGATTTTGTTTAAGATCACGGTCTCATCGGTTCAAATTTTTTACCTTTGTAGCACGGGATGAATATCATACCCATTGGAGATATCCTGGAAACAACAAAATACAACAAAGTTCAGAATCACTCTAAGCAAGAACAGTGAAAGTAGAAAGTAGCGTAGTGATTCTAACCAATTTTATGATTCGACAAAAGGGGCTATAAGTGTTTCAATTTGAAATGTTCTAAGGTTATGACTTAGGACTGGAGCTCTCCAGTGGGATAACTGAAGAATTGTTGTTGTTGTTGCACAATTTTCAGGGTTGCTAACGCTCAATTTGAAAGGTATAAGGTTGTAATTTAAACATGAAACTTGTTAGATTTTTGTAGTACCTGGCCATGAAGAGAGAATCATGATAAGCTCGGCTTATTATCATCTTGTGTGATAAGTTTAGCTCTGTGCTTGCCTCTGCCATTTTCTTGATTACTAGTTTATCTGAGAGTGCTGGTGGATCTTGATTTACAATTTTGAATTCTGTCAACTTCACTTTCCTTTTTCGAGCTATCGTGTTAGCAGATTCCTGAATTTTCTTGATCACAGCGTTTCTTCTCGCTTCATCGATATCCCTCGTATCTTTAAAAGAACACAAGAAAACGAACTTGGCCCCAACGATCAAATAAAAAAAACTTGGCACTATAAGCTTAGATTAAAGCGTGGATATGTCCAGACTTTCTCTATTAGTACGTGAGATGGAAAATAAGGCATTACCGATTTCAAGATGAGCTTTGCTCGGAATGCTGTTGATTGCCCCAGGATGCAGCTCCAAAATACCTAAACACGCAATGATTCATCTTGTGAATAAGTTTCATTGAGAGTAAGTTCTTGTCAAATCAATGAGGAAAACTCACCAACAGTTCCTACAGTATCTATTGATTCCGATTCTAAAACATGATTCTCCACAGCTAGAGCCAACTCTGCAGCCGCAAGGCCGGCATCAATTCTAAAAATCATCATTATACATTGATCAGTGTACAAGTGGTGTTTAAGCAGATAGTTTAAGTCTTATAATATATACCTCACCTATATGGCATTAGCACAGCACCGGCGTGACCTCCACTGCCTTCAAATTCCACCTTTAAACTTGCTGGAGCAGCAATGGCGGTTACTACACCGATATCTAAACCTGAGGTCAAACAGTGTCTCATATTGGTTATAATGGTAAAGAAGAAAAAAGCAAGAGAAAAATGGAGGTTCAACCGTACCTTCATCTTCGAGTATAGGTCCTTGTTCGATATGCAATTCTATAAAAGCAAAGTAACTTCCTTTCTTCAAGAACACACTCGACAAGTCGTCATCTTTATCTTCTGCGTATCCAGCTGATCTCGCTGCTTCTATAAAGGACACATTTTGGCTATCAACAACTGTAGTCTTTAGAGCTTCTGCAAGTTCTTTGCTTCCAGCAAGTAAGCGGCTGTATCAAGAACGTTTACAAGTAAGATTAAAAAGAAACAAACCATTCGATCTTTTTGTTGTTCGTAACTAAAGAGTACCTTCCTAAACAACTGATCCCAAATCTGGTAGGTTCTTCAGAAGTGAACAAGATTATCTCCAGAGATCTCTTCGGTTTAAAACCCGACCTAACGATAACCAAAAGAAAAACCAACAAAGAGCATCAAGAAACAATATCAACTAAGAGTTTTCTCTCTTCAAATCCATTCAGATTCCTCATACCTTCTCAAGACATTGATAGCTTCAATAGCACCTAAGACACCAACAACACCATCATACTTCCCGGAATATGGAATAGCATCGATATGAGAACCAGTGGCTACAGCAGGAAGATTAGGTTCTGAACCATCCCTACGTTAAAGAGGATTGAAACAACACACATCAGATGAAATCAAACAATGCAACATACAAATCATACTTAAACGGATGAGAAAGAGAAAGAGCCAAACCATTTGCCAAATATGTTACCAACAGCATCTTCTCTAACAGTAAGACCAGCAAGTGCCATCAAATTCTTTACATAACTTCCAAAACCAACCAAGGAACTCAATTCAGTATTAACAAAATCTATTCTCTATGATGCTTTTTACTCAAAACAAGTAATGATAAATAGCAAAATTGTTCAAAATTACCGTCGTGCCAAGACATCTTTGTCAGTATAGAGAACTCTTGTGACTGATGGAGAAGGAGCATCAGAGAAATTAGAAAGCTCATCTATCTAAACCAAACCAAAGAACAGCCATTAGAATTCAAAACTCAGAACTTCTCAATCTAGTGTTCCACTAAAGAAATCAACTTTACAATTCATCGAGGAAACAGGTTCAAAATCAAAATCCTTTTGGACCTGTTTTTGCAGTCCTTGAGCATCAACGGAGAGTGAAGAAGCGAGATTGATGGAGCCGAATTGACTCGGTTCGTGAATCGGGTACCCGGAAAAATCCTCCATTGTTCTAATGGTTGGGTTTGGTTCATGTTGTTGAGCTAAGGTTGAAGGTAGAGAGCAGAGAAGGGAGATAAGAAGAAGAGCAATAGAGCAGAAGCGAGTCGATTCTAAAGATTCCATTTTTTTTTTCAGTGTTTGATTCTGAGAGAGAGGAAGAACATCGAACAAATTAGTTAGAGTTTTGCTGTCTATCTTTTGGAGAAATTAATTAATTAACCTTTACTTTATATTTGGTGCAATATTCTCCAAATTGTTTAAAGGGAAATCCTCAAATTCAGTGGGAATTTGACAGAATGTTTTGTTGTATTCTAATATTCTATGCCTCTTATCTCATGGGACATATCTCATGATATCATGTGAGATAAATCAAATGTCATAGGCATATATATTTTAGGAATAACTAAGATTTATATGTCAGGAATATTTTCTAGGGGGGTTTTGCAATTACGGTTTGCATATATGGTAGTGGCAAGTTTTGCAATTATAGTTTGAAAATATGGAATCTAAAGTCAGTGGCAAAAGTTAGCGACTACCCACTGCTGTCCGCCTGTCTCTAAGTTTTGGATGGCTTAAAGCAATTTGAAAAAATTTGGCCTTTATATATTTACTGTTTTTATTTAATAAAATATATTTGATTTGGAACAAATTTCTATTATTTTTTTTTTTAAGTAATCAAAAATTATTATTATTGTTTTCTGTAAAGTATTAATTATTTCATTAAATGATTAAAAAAACCCCAAAGAAACCAAAATTATAGACTTGACAAAAATTAAGATGCAACTGAAGTATATCTAATTATAATATGTTAGCTGAAAATATGTGATAATTAAAAAAAACATGATAAATAAATTAGAAAGAATAACACACAATTATGAAAAAAAAAAAAATAATAATACTTAAGAAAAAAAGAACACTTTGACAATGGCAATGCCGGGAATTTAAAATAAATAAAAAAATAAAAAGGGTATTTGTTTGACACCAAGAGAAAAAATAAACAAGAAACAAGAAGAAAACTAAATAGTTTGTAGATCTTATAACACATAGATTAATACATGACTTTAAAAATAAATTAACACATTGATACTTCTCTTGCCTTATGGCTGGAACGGCTTGGCGACTATAGTATGATTCCATTTAGTGACTCTAGTAGCTTTTTATATTTACTGTCTTAGTGTCTTACAAAAATAGCGATTACCAGTGTCGTCACTCGTCACAAAATTGCGACTGTTTGAGGAGTCACAATTTTAATTACTTTTTTCTCAACAATTTGCAATGCTAAGATATTGTGTCGAGCTTTTTATAGCACCATTAGTGAAAGGTTCTCAATGAGTTTTTCATATTAAACAACTAATAAAATTAAAGAAAATGAAAAGAGAGAAGAAGAAGAGTTTCTCATTTGAGAAACTTGTGAGAAACTTATGAGAACTCTTCTTATATTTGGCATTGTTTGATTGGTTTAAATAAAATATATTTCAATTAAATATTAATATAAATTGTGTTTATATTTAAAATTATGTTTACATTTGAAGTGAGAAACTTAGTAGGAGAAACTCCTACTGCGTTTACAACTTTCAGACCATCTCCATTGGTTAGAACTTCAAAAAGGTTTTTTAAAATTAAAATATTATTATTTTAATTTAATTTAATTTTTGAATTAATTTTTGTTTCTATTAAAAAGATACATTAATAAAGATTTGACAGATGTAGAACATCTCTAAAATGGGGTTCTTAAATACTATCCACAATTGTGTTAACTTTCAACACCCTCTTTTTCTCTTTTAACACTCCACATCATTTTCTCTCTCTTCCACCTAATCATTCAATACACAATTCAACTTTTATATTTACAATGATTTTGTTTAATAAAAATTCAACACTATACCCCGCTACTTTTACTTCATTATTTAAAATTATTAAGAAAAATATAGTAATAAAAAATATTTTTTATGTGTCCAAATTAAATAAACCAAGTCTCTATTTATAGAATATGAAAAATGATGAATTTTGGTATAAAAAAAAATAAAATCAAATATATTTTTCTATGAAATAACTGATCTCAAATAATTTGGATAAAAATATATTTTTTTTTCATGCAATCACACATGCCACATGTTGTTCTCTTTCTACTCCTTTTTCAGCTGCAACATCTTGAAAGAATTCAACAGATTTGAATCCAGCTCAGCTTTTTATTTTTTTTTCAACATACCATTGTATTGAATCAACAGTTGAATTAAAAAATTCAACTACCCATTGTAACTAGTCTAAGAACTTTAAGAACCATTTCTATAATCTCTCTCTCTAACTTTTCTATTTTTTTTCTTTAATTTATTGTTAAGAACATTCTCTTAAACTTTCCATTAAAGATGCTCTTAGGTGCAGTCGCAAAAGCGTTTATAAAACCTTATTTATGACTAGCTAATTTGCTACATTTCTTGTAGTGGCAAAAAAAAATATTTTGATTATAGTTTATGATAAGAATATTTTTGTTAAGTTTCATAAACTGCCAACTCATAACTATTAACAATGAATCGATTAGACTATATCTCTCGTATAGATGCTTGTTAATTTCTGATGTAAGATCCCAACAAATTCTATCATAAATAGATCTATAAACTTCCAATTCAAAATTAATTAGCAATAATTAAAATAACTTTTATCTCATATCTATTAATTTAAATTTATTATAATTTAATTTTGGATATAAAATGCTGATTCACACTGGATGTACTCCTAGTTTCTACTGTAATAGAACAGTGATGTAGTTGTAATATAAAGGATTCGGGATCTAGAGGACCAGTGCTACTCTATGACTTTGTGAGGATTGATTTAAAGCTAAGACAAAGATGATTTGCTACGAAAACTAAAAAGTAAACTGAACGGCAAACAACGATTTAAATTCGAATTAAAACAAGCACTAGACCAAAGTAATTCGCAGGAATTTCAGAGATAAGAACCTGATGACTATTCAGGGCACGAGTGTAACGCAAGTCTCGAACTCAAACAGAAAAGCTTATCGATCCACTGTCGTGATCTCGATAACTTTGTCTAACAACCTAAATCCTAAACTGTCGTTTGAACCTAGAAAATTGCAGACAAGCATTAGCTAGCAGGTTTGATCTGTTCACGATTTGCCTTAACTTCAACTGTCGTTGGCTAAGGACAAATCGCTCACCAATGTTTATTCTAGCAACCTATTACACTTTTGATGAATAGATTAACCTAAAATCACAGATTGAGTGATCAATTCAACCTAAGCATTAAGTCTAACAATGGTGAAGACAATAGATATCAAGCCCTATTTGCATCTAATCCTTTAACTCATGAAATCCTTTGAATGCTTTAATCTAGCTAAGAGAACTACTCAGACATGGAGAAAATAAACACAGCAACAGATGAAAAGAAATTCATGAATTAAAATCGCAGAAGAGATAAAAGGGTTCAGAATTCTTCTCAGAATGTAGCAGGAATTCTTCTCCCAATTGCTTACAAGCAGAAATCTCTCAAAACTAAAGCGTAAAAAGTCTGTAGAAAAACGTCCTAATAAAAGACAGGCGGCTCTGGGCTTTTTATCCCATCTCATGCAACTTAGGATTAGGTAAAATCGTTTCCTTATTTTTCTCCAGAGGTTGGAGCAGGTGCTCCACGAAGGGTCCAAACCGGGAGCAGGTGCTCCGCGGATGATTTCTCCAAAAGCGTATGAAATAGCTCCTTATTGCTCAGATTCATCTCCTTATTGCTCAGATTCATCTCCTTTTGCTCCAATGCCTTCTAAACACTCCAATCCTCTGATAAGACCTCTAAGTCACATGAAACTTTCTGAAAAGACTCCAAAAACTCCTAAAACAATTAGTAAACATAGGTTACAATGAGCCAAAATCTCCACTCATCAAATGCATGATATATATCGACGTAGAGTTTAAACCATGTATGATACATTTATATACGGTTCTTTATAAACGGTAGTGGTTATGTGGTATCTTAACTAGGCGTAAATAATTCTCTCCGCAGTTTGATATAACACTAAAAAGGTAAAACAAACAGGTTCATGTTTAGGTACAGTAAAACCTCTATAAATTAATAATGTTGGGACCATAAAATTTTATTAATTTATCGTGATATAAATTTATCTATAGATTAATAATTATTAATTTATAGAGATAATCTGATTTTCGCTTATAATCTTCTAAAATTTTCATTCGAATAATGTTGTATTTAAGAATTTAAGCGAATATCTTATTAAAAATTATGATTAATAAACATAATTATCATAACAAAATAATTTTTAATAGCATATTAATTTGTCTATTAAAAGTTTACATGTTTAAAAGTTCAAAATTTATAAGAAACCATGGATATTATCAAAAAGATGAAATTGAAAACAATACTACAATACATTTGTAAATATTTACGTGTAAGAAAATCAATTATCACATTAAAAAAATCTTCACAAATGGAATGTATATCGAAAAACAACAATAAAAGATAGAGATGTAATAAGTAAAAATATGAACACCAATGAAATTTCAACTTTAAGTTAAAAAAAAAAAATACATTAGTCATATTTTAGTATAGTATATTATATATATTTGCATTTGTACATTTATTAATTTATGTTTTTGTTGAGACCATATATTTACATAGGAGTTTCAAAAAAAATATTATCTTATTATCTTATCGAATTTGATAAAATTTTATATTGGCCCAACTTGGAACCGACAAAATTTATTATTTTATAGTGATTATTAATTTATGAAGTATTAATTTATAGAGGTTTTACTGTATTAGGTTCTAAGCTTTTGCATGCTTCTTTCACATAATGTGCTTGTATTCAACGCTTTTGCAAATCCTGAAATTAGTCAGATTCCAGTCTGGATATTCCAAATTACATAATATATATGGACAGAATACAGTTATATAAACAGTATCGACGTTATCTATTGTACATGAGTCAATCAAATCTACAAATACAAAGAGAAAACAATTACATTAAAAATACGACCACCTCATATTAAAATATAAAAAATGGTAGGAGTTTCAAATCTGTTAAACTCTACAAACTTGCTGCCACATCATAGAGATGAGCATCACGCCATCACCCTGATATATATGTATATATATGTATATATGTATATATATATATGTATGTATATGTATATATATATATATGTATATGTATATATGTATATGTATATATATGTATATATGTATATATATGTATATATATATGTATATATATTAAATCATTTGTGATAAATACAATAAAGGTTGCTTAATAAATCCGGTTGATCTAATACTCTATATGTAGTAAGTTGAGGTTAGCATGAATACGATATGGGAAAGATATGGTGGCTTTATCAAATCTTAACGTACATATACTAAGGACGTCAACAAAAAAAAAACATTATTATAATTGGGTGGCGTTTAAGACTTTATATTTTGATTACAATAACTTGTGAAGTCAATAATGAACAAACCCATTTCTCACAAAAAAAAAAAATAATAATGAACAAACCCAAGGTACTTATTTTGACAATCTACAACTCTATAAATACCATGTTTGTTATCGGGAGAATAACACAACACAAACTAAAATCACATAAATCTATATCGATACATTTAATCAAGAAAAGATGGCAAGCATATGCGAAGGTATATATATATATTAGCATACACGTACTTAGTACCATCGATATCATTGAGTCAAACGTAAAGTTATTTCTCAGGTTATCAAGATCAATATCGCTGAATTTTGATACCGTGAGATTTAGAGCTTATGGTTTTATGGATGCACTGATTGATTTCGCTTCCATGTATTACTATTATTATTATTTTTTTGACATTAAACCAATTAGATAGGTTAAACATTAATTCTTTTCAACAATTTGTAAGATCAAAACATTTCATGATATTTACAATCTTATCAAAGGAAAAAAACGTAAAGTTATTAGATTTCGTTTCTTAGTTGGGATGGCTAAGTATGTAGTTATTTTCATGATGAATTAATAATACATGTTTTATCTATGTCTGAAATTCATTCTTTGTTAGAGATGCATACATATATTGAAATTTTTGTAGTATAGTTGGAATCTGTTTAGTTTTATGCTTTCAGCTCAAAACTAATTATTCATATTTAAACCAAATTGACTAGTTCATATCTCGATCTTGTCTTTTACTTTAGGTTCCCATGTGGGATAGATTCATAATGATTTTTGAAATAGAATTCAGTAAAAAAATTGAACTAAACTAAACCAAATTATTTATTTAGATATGGTCTTTAAATTATGGCTAATCTTGAAGTTTTGATCTAATAATACTATATATGTTAAATAATGAATAAACAGATCCAGGAAAAAGCTCGTGGCCAGAACTAATGGGAACAAAAGGAGAATATGCGAAGGAAGTGATCGAAAGAGAGAACCCCAAAATGAAAGCTGATATCATTTTGGATGGAACTGCCATTCCTGAGATCTTTATTTGCTCTCGTGTTATTGTTTGGGTGAATGATTGTGGAATCGTTGTTCAAATTCCCAACATTGGTTAATTTTAAACAGTTTCAAGAAAAATGTTATATGTAACTTAAGCGTTTATTATTATTATATAAAAGTAATAAATTAATAAGGATCAGAGTGTTATGAGCTCAGTTGTGTCATGCTATGCTATCTCATAATTCATTAATAAAATTGAAGATTGTATGTTTTTTTTGGTCAACTGTGATTGTGATACAGCGATTCTTTATTATTTATTTTATTTATTTAAACAATTTTCATTTATCGTTTTATGATTTTTTAGGTTTTGGATATGTTCTGAATAAATTGTTTAGACATAAAATTATATTCAGTTTTGGATTGATTAATGGTATTATGCTATTGCCTTCTTGTTCAATGGTTTTGGTAGATATAGAAAAATCTTAATGAATATAAGAATACTTGATTTATTCAGGGATTCTAATGTTGCAGAAGCTAGATAGATGCTAGAATATTCGTTTAGTCTAAAAATATCTAAATAAATTAAGTCTTCTAAAATTCGTTAAGATCTTTCTAGATTTACTAAAGAAAATATAATCTTTAGAAAATATCAATGAAGAAAAGTTTTATAATTCTTCTGTTTTATAAAAATGTTGTTACATGCATGCATAGTTAATTTTTTAGAATAATAGCGTGAGATATCATTTATTTCTAGTTCCTCAAGAAGTATAGCATTTTTATTGAGATATCCTGATTCCGATTTTTAAAAATCGGTATATTTCCTTAACCTAGTTTAAACCATATTCATATTCTAACTAAGAAAAAAATATCATATATAAGCTCTCATAATCTATTTTTCTCCTAACCTAGCCACAGAAAGAAACCTAATCTCTATCTTTTTCTCTTCTCCTCTTTCTCCCTCACGATCTCTCTCCTCTTCTCCTCTTTCTCCCTCACAATCTCTCTCGTCTTCTCCTCTTCCATGTTATGTCCTCTCCTCCTTTCTGCAAAACCATTGTGACCACCTCTCTTTCTCTCTCTTCTCTCTTTGCGTTGCTCTTATCCTCTCATCGCCATTTCCTTCCCTGCCACCGCCAACTTGCGTGACGAATTTCTGGCGCACGGTGAGCAACCACGTGATGATCTACATATCAGTCTGAAGCCCCGAGTCTTAGCTCTCTGAAAAGCCCAAGTTCATTTAGATTGGAGATCGTGCCAAAAGTTATCGCTGTTTTTGTTCTGGTATCTGATATTCCCAAATAAGAAGAAAAGAGGAAAATGTGTATTGCAACTTCAACCAGAAAGAAAAGGTGAGGACTATATATGAAAAGGTTGTAACACAGAGATCTCCGATATAACATACAGGAAATGCAAACACACTTTGCCTTTATTAAGAATCACTTAGACAATTCAACTGAATCTGTCTAATAAGAATTACACGACCTTACAACAGCAACTCGTCACTGACCAATTTTTAATCTACCCAACCTAACACAACAACAGTTATGATTCTAAGAAAACCCTTACAAAAACCCTAATTTCTCTATTAGTTCTTTGTAAGCTCTTCTGCTCAAAAGCCCAACTTTCTCTCGAGTAGTCTTCCAGCTTATATACCGTATCACACGCCAGCATGCGTATATCCACCTTCCTTATTGTTCTGATTTCCCAATAGCAGAATCTTGATCATTGATCCTCACAGAACCGCTTCCTGTCAGCTCCAATCCAAAGCTGCCACGTCAGCTTACTTGTTATGCTTCTTGCTTCACACGTATGTTCCAAGATACTGTCCCATCTTTGCCCTAGCCATGTGTCACACACTTACTTGCTGTGGCACCTCCTCATCACCGATCTTACATTCTCCTCCTTTTTAGCTGAATATGACACTCCAAGCTACCTGCATGAAAAACACAAGCACAATCACTCAAAACTTCCAGAGACCAACCGAAATCCCGAAAATGATACTTATGATTTAAAGCAATGCTCTCAGCACAACAAGAAACGAAAAGTCTTCAACACGCAACCAAGAAACAAAAACAAGGTCTTAAATTCAAAGTCAAAAGACAACAGACACCAGTCCCAAAAAGCAAGAAACTTAAAACGCTCCCCAGTCATTCCCATCATCAGGATGAAGCTCAATGTGCTCCCCCTCAGTGTCAAAGTCCTCATCACCAGCTACTCCTACTCCTGGTTCATCAGATGCTGCTGCTCTTGCTCGCGAAGAACGTGTGGAGTACTTTCCCCCTGCTTGAGTGCATAATCAGATAAAAACACATAACAGCACAACAGAGACCACCAGAGGACTAGATATGCCAAGTAACCAGTGTTTAAGGGACTTACCTTTGATGCGCAATTGAATACGTCGCAGCCACGTAGCAAGCTGTTCTAGGTCAGCTTCCAGAGGCGGTGCGACGGTGGGTTCGCCATCACCGGATCCCTAGCCGGCCTTGGGACCAAACGTGATCTTCATAGGATAACCCTGAAGTTGGCGATGAACCGGAACCACCCATTGGAAGCTGAGCAGTTGGAAGATAAGATTTGGAAACATAAGTTTTCTGTCAACCATCTCCGGCGTACGGGCTGCAGTGATGATCTGATCATAGAACAATTTCCCAAAGTTGAGGCGGTTTCCTTGAACAATGTAAGCCAGCAACCGGATGCGATCCTTGACCATCGTCGTGTTATTGGTTGTTGGCATCCAATTGCAACAACAGAGTTTGTAAATGACGCCATTTGTGGGAGTGAGATGGCGAGATCAGAAACCTTCCCAGCGATGCTTGTAACCTCCCGAGACCACGCGAACAGCAGTGTCAATGTTGAGCTTCTCCCATTCAGTATGCGGAAGCGAGTCATCGATGAGAAACATCTTGTTGATGATCTCAGGAGTGAACTCGAACATCAACCCACAAATGAAGACCAGATTGGTATCATTGTGATACTCAATATCGGGAACATTCGCGTAGAACTCATGAACCACAGAAGAGCGATACAGTTCCACATCAAGCACCGTGTAGGTCAAACCAGCAATATCGAGGATCTTCTGAGCATCTTCCAATTTTGAGGTCATCCAAAGGAAGATATTTTTGATCATGAAACGGACGCAAGCGAAAAGAGGCAAACCTGTCCTTTGCTCCACCGGAGGAGAAGTTAATGGTGTACTCAGGATTCATGCGATCACGATCCAGCTGAGCGCATCAATTTGCGGCATAGCGAGAGTCCAGATCCAGGTAGAGTGGATGTCCCGGTTCGCGTGGGTCAGCGAAATCATCGTCTGAGGACTCCTTTTCTTCTATGGATGCTGTCGAAGAGGAAGAAAGTGAGACGGGGCGCTCGAGGCGACCTGGAGCACAAGGATGAGAGCGCGAGGGCTGTGGGAGCGATGACTGATCGGAATCACCGTCCTCATCTTCCAGACTTGGGATACAAATTGGCTTTTTCCCGGATCGTTGAAGCGATTTCCTCTTAGCGATCAAACGCGCAAGAACGGTGGCTAGGGTTTCCTCATCTGCAGGTTCACGACAGCGAGACGCCTCAATGGCAGATGCCATGAGTTTGGCAGAGACAGAGCGAGTGTTTCTCATGACTGTAATGAGGAGAGGAGAGCTTAGGGTTTCTAGTGGCACAGATCTGAGCGGTGGCACACGAATCGTCAGCAGCCTATGTATTTAAGCGGGAAGGAATGCCTGTACCTCAGAACACAAAGCTCAGCTCAGGATTAGTACTCACAAATGGGCCTAAAGCCCAAAAAGAACCCTTCAATAAATCACATACGACAGAATGAGACATGACAAACAGTGACACACAGATATTCACACCAAGAACTCATTTGGAAAAGAGAATCCTAGAGAACCCCATGCCACATCATTGAGCATGGAACAAATCAGAGAGCCTTGGTTGGACATTACAACATACATACACCGTTGTCCGTTCTTGCGATGGGGTAGTATCATTGTATTTTCATTTGAATTTGAAACCCAAAATACAAGATGTAACCAAGAAAGCCAACCTCCAAACCCAGAAGTGCAGCATTTCTTCAGCCGAAGAGCTTTCACAGTCCTGATTGTCCTGCATCTGCCAAGCAAGACCCACAAAACTATGTACATAAGCGTCAGTGCATAACATCACACGATCTAGGTGAAACCTTGAGAAGGGTGAGATGTCTACTTCAACTTCAGACATATAGTGAGGCTTGCATTAAAGTGATCACACAATCCCTAGACACACAGCCAGACATTCACAAGAGAGCTGTGCTGCGTACCCTCAGCCGAGGAGCATTCACACGATTGTGAGACTATTTTGGTCTCCTTTGATATTATTTTTCTGTTTCAGAGGCTTAGCTTGAGTTTGAGTCTAAACAGTGTGCCGGGATTGTGTAACCACACCTGTAACTTGTGGTGCAGCTTACCCTCAGCCGAGGAGCTTTGACACACATACACCCGCGTACCACAAAGACAGACACAAGACTCACGATTAAATACCATTCTCCTTAAAGGCACGCGTCATCGTTTCACTCCAGTCAGTGATCAGTGCCAACAAGAAATGTGGTAGCATCCCTTGTCAGACTGAGTGACCTTCACAGTGTGCACACCAACACAAATGACCAGCTCGCAAGACTCACTGGCCTGCATAGGACAACTGCTTACGGGAAGTTTTGATAAAACGGGATAACTTTGACTTCTGCAAAATACACTTTTCCCTGCAAAACAAACTTAGTGCTCACACACACCCAACGCCTTTTGCAGATATAAAAAGCTGTTGAGATCTAGTGGTTTAGTAAAGATATCCGCCAGTTGGTGCTCTGATGCAACATGCTCAATGACAGCAAGTTTCTTCTCTACCAACTCCCTAACAAAATGATGTCTCGTATCGATGTGCTTAGTACGAGAATGTTGAACATGATTTTTGGTCAAGTCTATGGCACTCTTGTTATCACAGTGAACTAAGAAGGAACTCGTGTGAATACCATAGTCGTTGAGCATCTGTTTCATCCAGAGAAGTTGTGTGCAACAGCTTCCAAGAGCCACATACTCAGTTTCGGCAGTAGAGAGTGACACAATTCTGTTTCTTGTTGTGCCAAGACACCATATTGTTGCCAAGAAAGAAACATCCTCCTGATACTTTTCCTGTCATCCAAACTTCCTGTCTAATCTGCATCACAAAACCCAGCAAGATTCAAGTTAGTATCCTTAGAGTAATATATGCCATAATCTAGTGTGCCCTTCAC